CCAACATGATTCGGTGAGAGTATGTGCATTATTGTTGGGCCGTACTTCAGACGGTCAAACTTCTGCAAAAGGAGGTGCCTTGAAGATAGAACTCCAAAGGGGGTTGAAAGAAAGGTGTGGAACTCGCTTTCTCGCAGCTGCCTTTATCGGTAGGTGTTCATGCTTCTACCAAAGTGTGTTCGTCGCTTGTGTCCGTCAGGCCAAGCTTCAAGAAGTTGAGACCCCGTTCCAGCCGAAACCCTCCTGGACCCTGGAAAACCCCACCTTTATATTGTTCCTCCTTATGAACTCCTTATATAAGAAATTTCAAAGGTAGGTGATTTCGGGTTACGGTGAACTCATATTCATATTCCGTAAAAAAGTCCTTGTAAAGGTAGGTTACTTCGAGTTAAGGTAAACCCTAAATCTGTATAGTCAGCTCCCAGTCATCCGAAGGATTGCCTCGGGGAGCGGCGTCACGATTTCGCGCGGGACAGATCCCTAGAACGTGAATGTGATTTGTTTTTTTCTAAATTCTAGATGGGTTTCGAGGCTTGAAGTTGAAGGATCGTCGGATTTAAGGGGCTACTACTACTCCTACCGCTGCTGCTAGTACTAGCACTAAGCCACTACCACTACAACTACCACTACCACATACTACCACCACCACCGCCATCACCACCACGAAGACGACGACGACGACGACGACTACTACTACTACTACTACTACTACTACTACTACTACTACTACTACTACTACTACTCCTGCTACTACTACTCCTGCTGCTACTACTCCTGCTGCTGCTACTACTACTACTGCTGCCGCTACTGCTACGACTACGACCACCGCTGCCGCTACAGATGCAGCTGCCACTACGACTACAACAACTACTACTACCACTACTACTACGTACCACTGCTACTACTACTACCACTACTCCTGCCACCACTACTACTACTACTACTTCTACTACTACTATTACTACTGCGACTACTACTACTTACTACTCACTACTCACTACTCACTACTCACTACTCACTACTCACTCCCCACTACTCACTACTCAATACTCACTACTCACTACTCACTACTCACTACTCACTACTCACTACTACTACTACTACTACTACTACTACTACTACTACTACTACTACTACTACTACTGCTTACTGCTTACTGCTTACTGCTTACTGCTTACTGCTTACTGCTTACTACTATCACTGCTACTACTACTACTACTACTACTACTACTACTACTACTACTGCTTGCTGCTTTCTGCTTCCTGCTTACTACTATCACTACTACTACTACTACTACTGCTACTACCACCACCTACTCACTACTTACTACTCAGTACTCACTACTCACTACTCACTACTCACTACTCACTACTCACTACTCACTACTACTACTACTACTACTACTACTACTACTACTACTACTACTACTACTACTACTACTACTCCTACTACTACTACTACTACTACTACGACTGCTACTACTACTACTACTACTACTACTACTACTACGTGTACTACCTATTTACTACTGACTGCTTACTGCTTACTGCTTACTACTATCACTACTACTACGACTACTACTTCTTCTTCCACTACTACTACTTACTACTTACTACTTACCACTTACTACTCAGTACTCACTACTTACTACATACTACTCACTACTACTACTACTACTACTACCACTACTACTGCTATTGCTACTGCTACTACTACTACTACTACTACTACTACTACCACTACTACTACTACTTCTACTACCTACTTAGTACTTACTGCTTGCTACTACTACTACTACTACTACTACTACTACTCGTACTAGTATTATTACTACTAGTACTACTACTACCAGTACTACTGCTCCTGCTATTTTCAGCACTAGCAGCACCACTACTTCTACCAGGCCATGACCTCGTCACGGCTGGCGTTCCTTCGCTATGGTGGTGCCACAGGCACCATCTTCGAAGGGCCACGGGTTCCGTTTGTTGCTGTTTTCTTGTAAGCTCAAGGACTTGCTGGCGAAATGGCCTGCTGCTATGTAGTCTTGGCGATAGAGTATATCTAGCCTGAGGCTTAGAACAAACATCACATGTATCGAGGATCGTGACTATGATTCATATCATCACATTCATCTCGATAGCCATTTTTAGCAGTGACACACAGTCGCTCTAACACCAACATGCATGTATGTATGTTTGTTTGTGTGTTGGTATGTTTGTATGTTCGTTTGTATGCATGCATGCATGTGTATGTGTATGGATATATGCATGTATGGATGTATGCAGTGTTGTGTGTATGTATGTATGTATTCATGCACGTGTATATGTATGGATGCATGTACGGATGTTTGTACGCAGGTGTGTGTATGTACGGCGTATGAATGGAGTGTAATTATGTCTGCATGTGAGCAGGTGTATACACACAAGTTACATGTGCATGTTAGGTCATGTTGCTGGTATGAAAGGCAACTGTAATGGCGGTAATGTCAGAAGGTATGCTGCTGTTCAAAGACGGCAAGACTGTTTATTGACTCAACCATGATGATGAACTAACAAATGTGGGGTTTGTGGTACTTTCAGTCAGTCAAGGCGGAGCATAAACATTTGAGGCGGACAATTCCCGAAACATTTGAAGTAGCCGCTGTTCCCTTTGGGTGCTTGTGAGCGAAGGCGCGGCATCCTTCCTCTCCGTGGTCAGCGACTCCCCGAGGGGCGAAACCGATCGGAGCATGGGAGGGCCTCTCGGCATCCTCAGGCCGTGAACCTAAGAGCTTTTGGAAGCAACAGGAAAAGCAGCAGCAGCAGTTGCAATCGCAATCGAAGTAACATCAGCAACACAGTAGCTATATCAATAGCAATGACACCACCAGCATCAGTGTCAACGGCATCAGCAGCAGCAGCAACAGCAATCAAGAAACTTACATCTACATCTTCCTGGGGCCTCACTTGCTTGCATCGGTAGCCCCTAAACCCCTAGTCCTTAAACCCCCTAAACCCCCAAACCATCCCAAACCCCTTGTAAGCTCTCCCGACATGGCCACTGTCAGTGTAGGCCCCTTCCGAGAGGCGGGTAACTTCCTGCTGCGTTGCTGCGGAGCAGACATTGCAACCCTAAAGCCCTAAACCCTAAACAAAAACTGAACCCTAAATCGGACATCCGAAGCTCCAGCCGAGGCACAGCGCCGAGTCAGGTCCGGCCAGGAGCCCCGGAGTTTCGCTATATACTCATAGGGGTACTTAGCGACATTTTTTAACTTTTGGTTATTATAATCCCTAAGAAACAGCTAAAATTATAATTTGTGCTAGGGTTCTAAGTTCAGTATAGTACTGTTTGGCAGTAAGTATGTCAACCGATCCGTCTCTCTTGTAGACGCAACATGCGCACACACTTGTATCTCTATAAACAAGTATGCATAAGTAGCCGGTCTGTGCATACATCCATGAAGATGTTTCGGTCGGCATGGGCTGGTAGGCCCCGTCGTCCTTCTGTTGGTGCTGCTGCTGCTAGTGATGATGGTGATGAGGACCACACCTGGTCATGATGGTGGTGATGATGAAGGAGACGAAGATTATGATGATGTTGATGATGACCAGCCGACGGTGGCGATGATAGCTAGTTGACTGTGATGTTGTTTGCCATGACGACACTGATGTCAGTGCTGAGGACGACTATGGTTTCGCATATCGGGACTAGCGCGTTGATGTTGATTTTCATGTCAGTGCTGGCTGCAGTTGCGACCAAGATGCCAACCACTTATCACCGTCCGCTCAAAGAGCCCGATGCTGTTTCGATGAAATAGGTCCGTTTGTGCCCTGGTCTGAATGTAACACGCCAAAAACTCCTAAGCGAGCCTGGGTCAATGCACTAGATCTGTTTCCGCGTCCCCAAAGCCGCCCTGAACCCTAAACCCCGTGCCCCGCTCCTACCCCACCCTTCCAGCCCTTTCAAAGCCCGTAAACGCCAAACCCTACACCCCTATACCCAGAAGCCTACAGCAACTCCCCACAGAGCTGCGTTTTCTGAGGTTCCTTCGGCGACCTTCCCGATCAGGAGGCCACGTGGAGCTCGGGATTGGGACCTTGTGCGAAAGGTTCAGTGTTTACGGGGTAGGGGCGAATGCTGAAGCAACGGTAGCTGTAATGGTTTTGCAAGGGCTTTGCACAGCTTCGACGGCGGGCATTTATGGCGAGTGTGTGTTCTGGGGCTGTGGGGTCCTTAAGATAACAGTCACACGCACACATACCTCGCCCGGTAGGTATAGATGACGGTTGCTTTGATTCGGTTCCTTCAAGACGCCGACGGTCGTCACCCCAAGAGGACTGCAGGTTAAGGTCGATTCTCAGCGAAAAACAGTCACATAACCTGAACTCAGTGCCCGATGGCCCGATGGCGGCCAGGCGCGACGAGCACCGGCGCGAGGAGAAGCGCGCGCAGCTGCGAGGCAGGGCTGGGCATGCCTGAATATACAGGCTCAGCATGCTGTGCTTCCCATGTCGGGCTCCCAGGCACTCAAGTCACTCAAGCAGCTTCATGGTTGGTGCACTGAGCCAAAATACTCCAGCATGGTTCATCTTTGAAGACAGCCTTTGTTTTGAGGGGATACCTCCGGACACCCTCCTCCCCTCCCCCCCAGCCCCCCGATCCTCCCCACAAAGTCCTTGGCAGCAGCTTTCAAGTGGCGGATTTCTCTTTAGCCTCCTTAATACCTGTCAGCCCCATTGACTTCAATCGCGAAGCCCACGTACTCATTTCGAAGATTTGCCAAGCTATTGTCAGAGCAAGTGAGACCAGACGTCACCTTGCAGCATGCTTACTGGAGCCAGCAGAACGCGTTTAGTAACCGAGTTCAGCAGTGATTCCATACTCCCCTCTCTGCCTGAACCTCTGCGATTGTTTTTTACCCTAAGGCCCCATAGTAGTTCCTTTTTGTGGGTCATATTTAGAACCCTATACGGTAATCCCAAAAAGGAACTACTTTGGGGCCTATGGGCAGAGAGCCATGGCCTTTCGACGCGCGTCTTCGGCACTTTGGCCGACACCGTGTACACGTGGACCCGGCCCGGGCCTGAGGGGGTTGGCGAATCTTGGGATGAGCATGCGATGGCTCTCGATTTTTTAAATAAATAAATAAATATATATATATATACACATATGTATTCATTTTTGTATATGCATGTATATAATATAAGTTGAACCCCCGAATAATGAGGTTGTGGGCTAAATTTGTGTATCTTATCCTAGACTACATGTTATAAGAGATACTATATAGCAAGCTTCTCTAGTAATATCCTCGAACGGCGGCTTCTCTGATTCTTAAGGTCTTGCACAGGGATCCACTATTTGGGGATATATCGACCCCTGAAAACCTTATTTGCGAGCTCCTTCCATCATCTTCTATCCATGGATCAGGTGATCTTGTCAATGCCCGTATAATATTATGTCACTATCACTGTAGGCTATCTTACTTATTCGCAATATACAATACTATACCCCATACGCTAAACCTGTAGAACCTAAACCCAAAACCCCCTAAACCCTCAACCCTAAACCTAAACCCTAAAAACTCCTGAGCCCTTGGAAGCTGACGAGGCTATTGCATCCGACCCTTCCTGTCGCCGCAGCTAGCACCACTGGCACGCCACGGTCAAGGTCTCGGCTCCTGGCAGGACCTCTGGTAGAACCCGTTTAGGAATGCTTGCAAGAACCCTATGCAAAAAACCCTGAAGCCTAAAACTGAGGATTGTCACAGCAGATTGTCAGAAGGCTGCGCGATAGCCTATAAACTCTGAAATCCGAGATCCCAAACCCCAAGCCCAAAACCCCGCAAGCCTTAAACCCTCCAAGCCGAGAAACTATAATAAAGGAGCTTAAATAATTACCATACGATTTTTCCTTAAGGCCCCAAACCCTAAATCCCAATCCCTGCTGTGAATCCTGACCTCTCCCAGGCCCTAAATCCTTCGAACACCCCAAACCCCAAGCCTTAAACCTAGACCCTAAGTCGTAAGCCTTAAACCCGTAAACCCTAAACCTGGAGCACTATAACGGGTGACCCTCTGAGGAGCTCCGCTTGGACTTCTCGCGGCTCTATGGAGGTGGAGCAGAGGCTGAGAAGGCACTTCAGATCCAGCGCAGCTCGGTCTGATTTAGGGTTTAGGAGCTTAGGGTTTAGGGGTTTATGGGTTTAGGGTTTAAGGGTTTAGGGGTTTTAGGGTTTAGGTGATTAGGGTTTTAGGGTTTAAGGTCGGGATGAGGGGATGTTCAGGTGTCGGAGTTAATGCAGTACCGGGGCTCGTAATAATATGTTAGTACTAGCGGATGTATGTCTCGAAGACCAGATCTGATCTATCATTACGATACCATACGGCTTGTATATACTTAGCGGCCGGGCCGACAGTGTGTGTGTGTGTATGTTGGGTTACTTGCTTGTTTTTGCTACGTATATATATATATATGCATAAATGCCGACATGACAAAGTATGTGTATTTAACATATATACGCACGCGCACACATATGTATGCAAATCTCCACCTTAATTGTAATTCAAAGGTTAAGCTTTGGGGGCTAAGGAACGGTAGTCCGCTAGCTACTTTGTAGCTGGGATTCTGGCGTTTGCTCAGCAGCTCTGACGGCCGGCTTTTTCAGGTCTCAACTGCATCTGGGCCTAGGAGGTTAGGGTTTTAAAGCCGCGGTTTAGGGTGAAGTGATTTGGGGCTTGGGATTAGGTCCCAAAAAAGCACTATAAGCATAAGTAGCATAAGCATTTTTTAGGGATATCCCTACCTTATTGGGCTTCATTATACAGGGAGTTTATATGGGATATCCGTATCCCTGCTTTTGCTTGTGTGCTTTTTTGGGGGGCTTGGGATCCCAAGTGCCACTGAGTGCTTGCAGCCTTTCGGGATTGGACCAGAGCAGCTCCGCGGAAATCAATCTCTCTATTCATGGAAGACGTTTAGGGTTTAGGGAGTTTAGGATTTGGGGCTTCGGGTTAGACCCCCTAAAGGCAAACTCCTGCTGTACAAAGCCTAAGCCCCGACCTAAACACGACAGAGGTACTTGGTAGGATCCTTATTTCAGGACGTTGTACTCCTCAAGCACCGGAGCGGCTGAGGGCAAATGCCAACAGTGTACCTACAGTGCCTGAGTTTAAAGTTGATGTTGCGACGATTGGGGTTTCGGAATAGGAAGTGTAGGATGTGGGTTTGTGTAGGATTTAGGGATGGTCTAGGATGCCCAGTAGTACCCTTATTCCCTTTTTGTAGTCCTAGGTTCCTTATAAAGTTACCCAATACCAAAAAGAGAGGCCTTTTTATTCTTAGGTTACTGGGTATCCTGGTGGTAGTTGCTCCGCTTGATACCAACTCATTCGGGGGCCCATACAATGAAAGCAGACAAGTACTCGAGACAAGGATCTGCAGAGTTTTGTGTGTATAAGCGCTTGTTTAGGGTTTAGGGTTTAGGGGTTTAGGGCTTAGGGCAAACACTCGCAACCCTAAGCTGCCTTTGCCTGAACGCCATCGCCTACAGGACCTCCCACAGCTGTGTAAGCCCCAATCCCTCAAAGGGATCTCCTGAACCCTAAACTCCTAAACTCTAAACCCCTAAACCCCTAAACCCTAAACCCCTAAACCCTAAACCCCTAAATCCTAAACCCCTAAACCCTAAGCCCTGGACCCGAGCCGCAGCCGCCTCAGGTAAGAAGATGCTGTACCAGGACCCCGGGACCGCGGTTTTCTGGTCGTAGTCAAGATGGGATAAACTTCGGTTTAGGGTTCGGGTTTAGGGTTTAGGGTTATTAAGCGGGAGGTTCGGGGTTCGGGGATTTATTCGGGCTCGTATTCTATATTCAAGGATGTAATGCCTTAAGTTTTGGCACTGGTCAAGGTGCTGATTCCGAAGCCGTTCCTGTATGGAGTTTTTAGCCCCGCCTTGACTACCCAGAGACTCCAATATCGCTTTACTCAGGAATATACTTTGAATTAGAGTAGGGTCCCTAATAAGATTTAAGGTATATTCCTTGACTATGACTAAGGGATATTGGAGTCTCTGGAGGCTTCCACATTCTGGTTCCATGAAAACCCAGCGATACCTGCGCCACCCCGCCGGGCACCGCCCGACAGTGTTGGCCTCGTGGCAAGAAAGCCCGAATCTCAGGACGCCAACCAAGCACTTCTTATCGTGATCCCTCACAAATGTACTATAGGGGCCTTAACTAATTAGAATTATAGCTTTTGTATAGTATATACCCCCGATTGCAACTCTATTTTGGTGGCTCTGCTCCGAACTGAAGGCAAAACAATGTGCAGAAGTTTACGAAACTCCATCCACTGCGCGAGACTAGACTTGTAGGGTTTGATTCAGGGTTTAAGTACGATCTCGACGACCTTCCTGCCAACGCACTGCTCCCTCCTTCTACATGCATGTCCCCAAACCCCCAACAACCCCAAAAGAAACCAAGCCCTAAACCTCAAAATCCCCTAAACCAAAAATCCTAAACCCAAAACCCGCAACCTCCAAAGCCTTAAGCCCCCCAAAACCCAAAACCCCATCTAAACCCAAAACAGCCCTACAAGTCCAGAGCCCTGAAGGCGCGAAATCGAGGGGATCCCCTGCTCGCCGACTTCCTCGTGGGCTTCGTGGAGGCGAAAGGTCTGGAGCTGACCCTCGAGGCGCCTCTTCTGGGAGTTAGGAGTAGGGGGACCTTTGGGGATATAGACCCTCTCAATAAGGCCCCTTTTTAAGAAAGCCAGAAGTAGGGTTCAGAAGGGGTATCCCTAATAATACTACCTATCTTCTTAACCATAGAAAAGTTGAAAGTACCCATAGGCCCGGGTATAGAATTCTAAATATGAACCCCGAAAAGGAACTACTTTGGGGCCTTTGGGTAGTGGTAGTCGGAATTTAAAAATAAATCACTTGAACAACCATAACAACGACTTGAAAGTAAGAGGGTAAATAGATACATGCCGTAGTTTACAAACGGATAAATACATGAGTAAGGAAATGTTGAGAAATTAAATACAAATACTGAGTCGCTGCTTTGCCAAGTAGCAAGTACAGATGCGATTGATGTTCCGTTTCTTTTGCCCGTATTGCGGCGTGATTGTGTTCTTGTGGTATGGAAATTCGCCTCCAAGGTTGCTCATGCTTCTTGCCATACTTGGGTGGAACGACGAGCAGCTTCATACCTACGACTCGACGTTGGTTAGCACTGCTCCGAAATCGAGACACAATAAACACACGACGAACTACATAATAGAGTTGGCACAACGTGCTGATTCACTTGAGGGGCGGGTTGCGTATGCGGCTCAGGCCAGAGAGAAATGTGAGAAATGGGTATCAATCATGTCTTTCGATTGGGCTCCACTTCTTCAGTTTGGAAGACAGGGCGGTATCACAAAATGCAGACCTCGGACGCAGAGGTAGACGGAGAGATGCGAATTGCTTGCATGTAGTTCTTCATTCTTACTGGACCTGCCTCTGACTTCTTTGCCATCGTCGAAGCATCTGTGCATGTGAGAGTCTGTGCGCAAGGCCCGTACACCGTCACTGCCTCAATTCCTACACTGTCAGCTGGATAGCAAGCCCCCGCATTGCATTGTAATTATAGGATAATGGGCCCCCAAACCGCAGTCTCATCACTTATAGACCCCTTTAAAGGTACCCTATTCTAAAGGCCCATCATTGCTAGTCCGACAAGGCCCATAAAAAGAAAACACACCTATCTTGCGGCCAGGATGGAGAATCCTGGGCCAAGCTGATGGAGTGTGAGGAGGAGCCCGGCTCCCAGAGAAGGGTATGGAAGGGGGAAAAATTGGTTTCGGGTTTTGGGGGGTTGGGTTCATTGGGTTCAGGGTTTTGGATTTTGGGGTAGGGTATTGAAGGGGGTCATACCTAAAACCCCAAAGGCAGGTAAGATAATGGCCCAACACCTATACAAGGGCATTATTCCACAGTTTTGTGCTGTCTAGATAATGGGTTTAGGGTTTGGGGTCCAGGGATAAGCCTTACATGGTTTCAGAAACTCTGGTGGTTATTGGAGCCTTTGAGTTCGCTGGGAGCAGGGATTAGAGGCTGCAGTTTTTTGGCTTCAAAAGCAGCGACTGCCGTACGGTCGCAAAGACACAGGGGGAGGTTTGTGAGCTTTGGCTGAGACCAGCTAGCAGTTGGGATCTCCTCATATGATATGGTAGAGAACCCAATACCCCTTAGTTAAGGAATATACCTTAAACTATAGAGGCCTTAATATTATGATTTAAGGTATATTCCTTAATTAAGGGGTATTGGGATCTCCTCATATGGTACTTTAGGTGGTGGGGCTCAGCACAATATCCTAAACTCCTATTGGGAGGTTCGGGGGACTTAGTAACTGGTTATTTTAGGGACTTATAAGTACCATAACCCCAATTAGGGTCCCTTTTTTAGGGTACTTATAAGTCTACTTACTAACTACCTACTAAGTCCCCCGACCCCCCCCAAGTAGATTAAGGATCCTTGGCAGTTTCCTGTTGAACATAAAGTTAAGTACCGCAAGGATGCTGCAGTGGGTCCCATGGTGTTCACGCCAAATGGGAGTTTCCGAAAATTAGGGGTACCTTATTTTGGGGTCCTTATAATAAGGATCCTATTATTTAGGGTACTATATTAGGGTCCCCTATTTTCTGAAATTCCCAAATACTGAAGCTCCAAGTGAGTTTGGCATACGGACGTTTGAGGTTTTGGGACTTTAGGGTTTCGGATTTAGGGTTTAGGGTTTAGGGTTTAGGGTTTAGGGTTTAGGGTTTAGGGTTTAGAGTTTAGGGTTTAGGCCCGCAAACCCAAGCAATCCCTCGATAACGTCAAACTCACGGGCATGTTGCTTCCTGCACTAAGGTTTCTGATGAACCTGGCGGCTGCGACGCCGGGCAATAATGCGAGAAGAGCATTATCTCTGTCTTAGTGTTGGACGAAGAGCTCTTGAATTCCTTATGCTGTGCTCTGCGGGCCGAAGTCTGGGTCGGTTAAGGTGAAACAGGCTTGCCAGGCCTGCACATGGCCACTTAGAGCACGTGTAAGATTGAACAGGCATTGCCTGCGAGCAAAAACATGCAACAATACGTAAGGGGAGGCTGCATCCCCAGCGGATTAACTTCCCCGCCCCTTTCCAGTTTTGACGGGCTCACTTGGCAAGGGGGTCTTCGAAGGTTTCATCCTCACAGGAAGTAGGCTTTGCTAGGTTTCGAATTGGGCTTCTGTTGTCTATGCAAGGAATCTTGTCGTAGTTTCGATTACGAGGTCCCCCAGCCCTAGAAGCCTGAATCGTCGACCCTGAACCCTTCAGAGCCCTGTAGGGGGCCTTTTAGCCCCCCCCCCCCCCAAGGGTCCCTATGATTAAAGCCATCAATGCGAAACCATGACCTCCCAAAGAGAAGGGAGAGGGGGTCTCGGGTTTAGCGTCAAGAGTCACCCAGCCCCCACACCTGAAACTCAAAACCCTACATCGGAGCGAGCCGACATGGTGTCTAACCTCCCGTCCTTGCGCCTGGACTCCTTTGCAGAGGTTAGGATCACTACGTTAGCTACCCTGCTTGGATCCCCCAGGATTGTGTACTGTATCTGTCAAGTGGAGCACACGGCATGCGCCCCATGCCTGCAATAACGAATCGTACCTAAACACTAAAGTTACTATAGACCCCCCCCCCAAAAAAAAATGTCCCAACCCACTAACCCCAAACTCCTACACCCTGAACCCCTAAACCCCAAACTCCTGAACCCCAAACCTTGAAAGCCCAAATCGCCAGCTCCCAGGAAAATCGAAGTGCCAGAAGATCTGAACTCATCGCTCCTGCGGCGCCTGCAGGAACTTGCTAGATTTCGAGATATGTTGTATAGAACTCCCCAATTAGGGGTTTAAGGCAATTGGGGTATACGAGTTTAGGGTGTAGGGGTAGGGTTTAGGGTAAGGATCCATGTCGAGGCTCACCTGAATTGCAGGGAAGCAGCATTGATGCCCATTGGTGCCCTGTGCTTTTGGCCCGGCGCTGGAACTCAAGCAGTCTGACGCCGGCTTTGAGCTTAGGATGAGAAAGCTCTCCGAGAACCATGACTAGGATGCCCAGTAGTACCCTTATGCCCTTTTTGTAGTCCTAGGTTGCTTATGAAGTTACCCAATACCAAAAAGAGAGGCCTTTTTATTCTTAGGTTACTGGGTATCCAATCAACCCTCTCGGCCTGCAGATTACTTAAAGGCTCATGGGACTTAGTAAGTAAGGTTTTAAGTAGGATATAATTAGGATAACACCACTTAGGGGACTTATATCCCCAATTATAAACTACTTACTAAGTCCCAGGATCCTTCAAGTAGGAGGCAAAAAACCTTAAACCCTCGCTGACTTCTCACACCCTCGGCAGGACAAGTAGAGATCCGAAATCGTCAGTGGCTCCTTTTCGTCCGCAGGCTTTGCAACCTTCCTACAAAGTGTCGGCGTGATTCTCAACCCGACCATCCACCATCGAGGATGTTTTATGAAGGTATAGTATAGTACAGTATAGTCTAGTACAGTGTAGCGCAGTGTAGTATGGTATAGTGCAGTATAATATACCACCATAGCATATTGTGGAACAACATATTGTATACGTATAGTACAGTATAGGCCTGTGTAGGAGGGTGTATATTATGTAACTCTTTCTGAACTCATTCTGCTGGTGTATCATAACCGCAACCCTAAACCCCAAAACCCCAAACCATAAACCCAACCCACAAACCCTAAACCCCAAACCCTAAACTCAAACCCCTAAAGCCTAAGCCGGCAAGCCTCCTCCCGACAAGAGATAAACGGCGATCAGGACTTCCTGGCTGCGGGGCCGCCGCGGAAGGGTCTTACCGGAGACAGCCCTTGGGGGCAATGATCGCTTTGACTCAAGATCCGAAAACAGTGCTTCACTGCAGGTGTCGATTTGGGATAGTTGCTTTGTTTCCGCTATTGCGTAATATGGAGCCTTAATCTTAAAGCTAATCTTGGGCGACGGCTGAAATCGACACCTAGTCTTCACCGGGGATAATGTTGCCGAGAGGGAGTCAGGCTCAGCCTAGGCCACTTAGGGCTGTATGCCTGAATTCTTTCACGGCTGGTTGGGTTCTGGGGGAAGACTGTCATTATCTGACAGGATGAATCTTATACTGTGCTAGACTAGAAAATACCATATCTTACTATACTGTACATTATACTATACTATAGAATACCTGCAAGGGGCCCCCGCATTCCTTCACTTCTGCAAACCAACGGGTTCTAACATAGAACCCCCAATGTCCACGGCAGTTTCCGAGAATAGGGGACCCTAATATAGGACCCTAAATAATAATTATAAGGACCCCAAAGTAAGGTAGAAACTCCCATGCCGTAGCGGTACTTCGGGCCCTTTAGGACTTTAGGAACATGGCTTCCTCGAGCTTGAAGGCTGGCTATAGCATAGTCTAGTATACTATAGCATAGTACAGCAAAGAATGGTAGAGTAGGGTAGAGTAGAGTACGGTAGAGTAGTATGGGTGGTCGCAAGTTTAGTTTTGCTCCGTGACGTCTGCACTTGCAAGCATGCGGTCTACAGACTCAGCAACTCCGAAAGTCCATTGTCAGTAGTCGTGGTTTCACCACGGTCTCTTCGCACATCTCAATACTGTTCTGAACCCGTACAACTCAAAACCCTAAGCACCGAAAACCTTGCCAATCCCGGACCTGAGTCCGTCTTTAAGCCCCTACAGTACAAGTAGCGACCCTATATGGTTACCCATACCTAGACCCCCCAAAGTAGGTGAAATAATGGCCCAAAGCCCATAAAAGGCTATTATTCTACATACTTCGGGTAAAGCAACCCAACATTCCCTGCCTCGGCAGGCTCCAGCACTTCGTCCTTGCGCACCACTTCAGATTGCTCTGGTTGGGTCTCGGCGGCTTGGTGCGGGCGCCCGGCGGGCCCATCGCTTATTGCAGGTACACTGGATACACCTCCCTGCCGAAAGCCTTAGACCCGAAACGGTGATATATTTGCGAAAGTGCTGCTGGGTTCAAAAAGGCGCCTCCTGATATGGCACTCTCGAGGCTAACCCAGCTGAAGGAAAAGGGCCCGCAAAAAAATCAAAGAAAAGGCCTTGCTCATGTATGCTTTACCCTAAGACCCCATAGTAGTTCCTCTTTGTGGTTCATGTTTAGAATCCTATAAGGTAATCCCCAAAAGGAACTACTTTGGGGCATATGGGTACCGTACCAAGGCTGAGTTGCTCAACCGGCTGTCGGGCACTCTGTACCGGTCTACGGACGGTGGGCGCCGTGCTGAAGGAAGTGGCAGGCTCTTGTTGGTAGTTGGGGTGTCGGGTTTAGGGTTCGCGCCATATTTGGGTTTTTTGTAATCTTTGTTTTTTTTATGTTTCATGCATATATTCATATACATAGTACGGTTCTATTGCTCTGAAGCCTTGAGCTTTCCACCAATCTGTGGAAAAGAGATCTTCGATATATGATTTGCAGTTTAGGACAGTTTCTATGAAATATGCAATTTAAAAAATGTCGAATCTATATTGTGCTGAGTATGCATAGTTCAGCGCAGATGCGGCACACCGGGCGTTAGGCTGCAGGTTGACAAAACCCCTTGGGAGCAAAGTCAAAACATGGGAAGAATACCGGAAGAGTTCATATAGGGGCTCTAATAATTACCAATACTATTTTGGGCGAATTCCTTAACATAAAAATAGTATAACAGGTCCCCAAAACCCTATTCTAATTGTTAAGACCGGTATATCATGAGAGCTATGGCAACGGATCAAAGGAGCTCGGGAGTTTCGGCATATTCGCAAAGTTAGGTAATTCAGGCATGCAGGGAGAGTCTTCGGGCTTCTTTGGTTGAAAACGTAGTAGTAGAGTAGATAAGCTTTAACCATTTTGGCGTAGTATAGCCCCTATATAATCCCTATATAGCCAAAAAGGTTAACCTTAAGTTCCCCATGATACCCGACAAGTAGGTCATAGAACCTTCTCCTAATAAAGTACCCGAAATCGTAGGATCCTTATTATAAGGACCCCCAAAAAACCCTAAAACCCTGGTCGGAGAGACATGGCGTCTCCTGGAACATCTCGGACCGAGCATCCGAAGACTTGGCTAGCAGCTAGACTTCCCGGCACTAAACCCTGAAGCTCAACTAAACCCTAAAACCCCACAACCCAAAGTCCTATAGCCCCAAAGCCCAAAGCAAGCCCTAAAGACTCAGACCTTACAAACCCAAAGTCTTACGGCCCTTTCTGCCCTAAAGGCCTTACTATAGGAGCCTTCAACAATCACTGACACTATTCTTGGGGGTTCGTTACTATAGTTATAATATTATATACCCCAGAGCCCTATTCTAAGTGTCAAGGCCCCTTCATTCTAGTACCCTTACACTATCCCTTATCGCCCTTTTCGACCCCTTCTTAAAGGAACCCCACTCTATCCCTCAGCCCTTAACCCTAATCCGCTAAACCCCTGAATCCCTAAACCCCTAAACCCCCAACCTACAAACCCTAAACCCATTTAGCAAGGCCCCTATAAGGTAGAAGCCAGAAAGTTGGAATATGATTATCCTAACCCTTCTATGGTAAATTATAGGGTATCCTACCATGAAACCATATTCCACAACTTTCTGGAGTTCCCTTTATAGTAGAACCCTATAGATCCCCTTTAAAGGAACCCTATAAGCCCCTATAGATCCCCTTTAAGTCCGAGCGTCTCCCGGAGGCACCTCCGTGCGCCACGTCACCGAGCTGGTGCCCTCGTCGGCCCTGGAGACTCCCATGGAGCCCATAGGCCTGCCCTTAGGGTCCCAGGGTTTAGGGTTTAGGGGTTTAGGGTTTAGGGGTTTAGGGTTTAGGGTTTAGGGGTTTAGGGTTTAGGGGTTTAGGGGTTTAGGGGTTTAGGGTTTAGGGGTTTAGGGTTTAGGGTTTAAAATTTAGGGGTTTAGGGTTTAGGGTTTAGGGGTTTAGGGGTTTAGGGTTTAGGGTTTAGGGTTTAGGGTTTAGGGGTTTAGGGTTTAGGGTTTAGGGGTTTAGGGGTTTAGGGTTTAGGGGTTTAGGGTTTAGGGTCCCATGGAGCCCATAGGCCTGCTTGGAGGATCACGGGACTTAGTAAGTAGGTTATAATAGGGGTTATAAGTCCCCTAAGTGGGGTTATCCTCATTATGACCTACTTATAATTACTTACTAAGTCCCGTGAGCCTTTAAGTGCCCTTAGGGTCCCAGGGTTTTTCAGGCATTTGAGGATATTTATAGGGGTTTTAGAGGTGTGTGTTGGGCCTCAGGGGTTGCGGGGGTTTGAAGTTGAAGAGTTTAGGGTTTAGGGTTTAGGGTTTAGGGATTTGAGGATGTTTAGGGGTTTTAGGTGTTTGGGGGCCGCAGGGGTTGACGATTGAAGAGTTTAGGGGGTTGAGTGTGTGGGATTTTTCGGTGTCCTGTGTGTTTTAGGCCCTTAGGCGTCCAGGGTGGTAAGGGCTCAGGGTTTAGCAAGGGGTTGTAATAGATTCTGTAGATTTCGAGGCCGTCAGTCCGGCAGCTGTGGGTCGTTCTGTCTGAGGTCCTTCTTATGAGAGTGCCGCAATTACTTTTTTGGGGACCTAAGAAGTGACCAGGGAACCTCATCTAGAGAACTACCCATTCACAAGGTTTCATTGGGGGCTTTCAGGGTTGGGGAAGTTTGGGGTTTCGACTGCGGAGATTGCCAGTGTGCCACTTAAAGAAAGGAGGGACGAACACAAAGGTTGGTAAGCAACCCCAGTCAACAACAGCTCCACGCATGTATCGAAAGTAGTATATGCAAGGATAGAGAGGCAGATACTACGATGAAGAATGCTAGCACTTCTTACTATAACCAAAACTATTCGTTGATGAAGTTAGAGACATGTGCTATATGACCCTCAATCCCAAACAAAATCAAACTACAAATGACCTTTAGCCCTTCAACCACTGAAAAGCCTCAAATCCTGAAGCCAACCGTGAACTCTGGAACCTGAACCTACAGAACCCGAAAAACCCTGTACAACCCCAAACCCCAAGTCTCCAAACCAAAACCCCTGAACTCCTAAACCCCTATGTACCCATAGGCCCCAATAGTTCCTTTTTGGGATTACCTGATAGGATTCTAAATATTATCCCCCAAAAGGAGCTACTTTGGGGCCTTACGGTAATCACTACAACCCTGAACCCTATGCAAGGCACGCCCTTCGGTGGCCTCTTCCCGGTCGAGGCGCGGCAAGTCTCCCTGGCATCACACGCGCCTGAGGCCGGCGTCTGCTTGCTTCGGGTTTCGGGCTTCGGGCTTCAGGGGTCTAGGATGGAGGGTGGAAGGTTAGGGGGTTTTTGAGAGTTTGATTTCAGGGCTTTGGCTTCAGGGCTTTTGACGGTTCTTGATTTAGTTAGGGCACCGGATCTAGGTGTGTAAAGGGTATACTTAAGCCTGAGGATGTAGCGCGTATACTTAGACCGTACCTGGGCATCAGCATGCGTGCATGTCCCTGCAGGATCTTCCCTCGACGGCATTCATCACCTTTCGCACGCTCCAGGCAGCGTGACGAGAGGGATACACCAGGTCCGAAATCAGGATTTTGCATATTCTTCACGGTTTAGGGCTGTTTGGGCATCACTTACTTAGTTCACCAACTTCACAGATATGTGTATCGGGGCTTGCAGATAAGTTTATGGATTGCGGCCTGATTGCTTGGGCGTTCCAAGGCATTTTGGGCTCGAAATGGCCCCAGCTCTCTTGCTACAAGCTTGATGCCCCGACCATTACTAAACCTAAAGTCTATATGAACCCTAAACTTCCCTAAGCCCTATTAGTGAGAGGAAAAGGGCCCGCAAAAAAAAAAAAACTAAAGACCTGCAGCGTGAAAA